TGCTCAGTGACACAAAACTGTCCACTTAAAATGGTTAAAATGGTAAAAAAAAAAAAAATTCCATTTGTATTTGTCTCAATTATAATGTATATAAGAAATATTTATTCCTCACCTAGTACACAAGCCATGTTCCTGGGGCTATTTCAGCAAACCTTAAATAAGAGGTCCCCAACAAATGAGCTCAGCTCTTGTACTGTCCCCTTGTACTCCAAGCTTTGCTGATCTGTGCCACAGTCAAATAGGAAAGGTCTCCCATAGCCTCACATGGTAAAGTGTAGGTCCACAGTTTCGAGACCATCCTGGGAGGATCTGGAAACTCTCTGAGGTGCCACCTAGCTGGAGAAGGTGAATCACAGGGAGGGGCCACTGGGAGCACCTGGCCCTGATCTTTCTTATCCCTCTGTTTCCTGGATGTCATGAGGCCAACAGCCTCTACCACACACTCCCACGGTGTTCCCAAAGCTCTGGGCCAAGGAGAACCTTCAGAAACTAAACAAAGCAGGCATTTCCTCTTTTGAAGTTGCCCTTGTTAGGTATCTGGTGACAGCCACAAAGTGACTGACACAGGACCTAGAGCTGGGTCAGCCCACACTCTGAGAACCCAACACAACATATACCATGCTGAAACTGCTCTGAGTCGTTATTTGAATTTGTGAGTGAAAAAGCCTAGCCAGAGAGCCTAGCCATGTCTTCTTTTTCCTCCCTTTCTCCAGCCAGGAAATGCCTTCAATTTCTCGAAATTATGGAGCTATCTTTTTGGAAACAGATGGATGGATCACAGTAAAGCCCCTTTAAACATTCTGTCCACAAGTGAGAAGCGTGTGTTTCTAACTGTAGAAATTGTGAGTTTCAATCCCAAATTCTACTCTTCCAGCCATGTGACCATGGGCAAGTTGTTGAATTCTCCAAAGCCTGGGTCCTCTCATCAGCAAAGTGGGAATGCTACCAGAAGTCTAAAAAGCATCTGTTGTGCAATCCAAAATTCAAGAACCTGTCTTCTCAGTTCCTCAGCTTCTGGCTCAGTAGTTAAAGGGATCTCAGACATGATAACGAGCCAGGGAGACTCTGTGAGCAGCCCTGGGGCTCGCCCCTCCTGCTGGAATAAAATCCAGACCTCGTAAGGGTTAGTGCTCCTCCAGCTGTCCTACAGCCAGTGGAGCCTAAAGACGTCACCAACTCCAAGAGAACAAACCAAGATGAGCAAGAAAATAGGTCCAGTCCCAAGGGATCCGACAGGCACAAGCTGCACAGACACACATGCAAGCAAAGCACCCCAGACAAGGAAAATAGTCTGCGTTTGGGAGTTCCTGACAGCAGACGAGTTCTACTTGAAATAAGGTTTTCTGGGGCTGGAAAGATGCTGTTCTTGAAGGAGACCCAGCTTCTTCCTACCACACAAACATCAGTAACGTCGTCGGTTCCAGAGCCTTTGACCTCTTCAGGCACCAGCACCATGCGGTACTCAAGCATGCATGCAGGCAAACCACTCATACACAATATAAAGTACATTAGTCTAAAGAAAAGTTAATAACATTTCCTGGGGCGGGAGTTACTGAAAGATTACAGGGGGCACTCCATGAAAAGCACACAGGACTCCCAGAAAATGTGTGTCTGGGGGGCGGGTTATCACTGCACTGGAAAGTCCCTTTAACTGGCTCTGACTTCTGCCTTCACTGTCTCCCGATGACACTCTCTAGGAGAGGAAGAATGAGGACAAAAGCTGTCACCACCTCCTAATCCCACACCCTGACAGACATCACTAATTGACCACAGCCCCTCTCCTGCTGAGTCTGGCCCCAGCCTCCCAGGCAGCCACTACCAATCAATCAGAGATGACATGCAAAATGAAATCCACTTGTCCGGCTCCAGCCAAGCAGCTGGCCAGGTTTTCCTATGAAGAAGGAAGTCTATACCTCATATTCTTACTTGTTTTTTGTTTTGTTCACAGTCCTTTAAAAATGGGGGAAAGTGTCCTTTGCTCAAACCTTGCTAAGCCTTGAAGCCAGCCTAGAGGGCTGCCCAGAACAAGGTGCCATCTTAGCTCACTGCAGGCTCCTGCGGGCAGCCAGAGTGCTTGAAAATGCTAGCTCTAAGGCCTATCCTAAGGACACATCAAATTGCCTGATTTAAGAACAGGTTTCTCACTCTCATCAGACCCAGTGAACCCCACACCAGAATGAAGCTATACTCTAAGGAAGGACTCCAGGGTCAGGCTGATCATGACCATTGCTATCCCTGGGAACCTGAGAGACATTCTTCCACCCTGTGGCCAAGCTTGTGAGAGGATTACAGAAAGCGGAGTTGGCATTGTCCCGACTGCTAGTGTGCCTCTCACACCTGGAAGAACACCTCTGCACCTGTTCTGGTTGCTGACATCCATGAGCCCACAGTGTAGTCTGTGGACGGAGGGGATTGTGGGTCCACAGAGCAAGCTGGATGCCTAAGGTGGCCTGACTCCAGCACTCGCTGATGCTTTCCTTGTAAGAAACTGAGTCAAAGATTTGTTCAGCTCTCCCCTTTATTACGCTCCATGTTTAACTCTGGCTTGAGTGAAAGGGACTGAATTTTTTTGACTGATGTAGCTTTTTCATTCATTGAATGTCTGGCTAAACGCAAATCTCTGGCTTCCCAGGCCTGGCAGGAGGAAGATCACTATGCAGGGTGAGAAGAGGAGTCTGCCTCAGGTACTACAACAGCCACCTGGGAGTGGAGTCTTCAGGGCCTGCTGATGGCAGTGGATACACCCCCCCCCCTCCCGGGGAGGCAGTCATGAGAAAGGCCAGTGAGATCAGGGCACGCCCCATTAAATGTGTTCTTGGAGTCTGGGTTTTATCTGAAAAGCTTCTGAGAAGCTTTTGAAGGAAATCAGCCAGAGAGACTAGCTTAGATTTCTGCTTCCAGAACCACTGTTCGCAGGATTGGGAATGAAGTGGAGTGAGGAGGTTCAGCTTGGGAGCAACCAGCCAGCTGGAAGGCAACCACAGCAGTTCGGCAAGAAGGAAACCAACAACAACCACAGAGATAAGAAAGGCTCACACTCACTCAGGGCCGATCTACCACCCTGCCTGATGCCAAACTGAGGGCCGCATCCAGCCTGCACAGCATCCTCAGGTAGCAGGGTACCTACTAGCAACCTCCTTCTTGCTTCAGGAACCACAGAAGAGGCTAAGGAGTCCATCTTGAAGGAGCAACTCTGACCTGAGCCAGCATTCAAATCTAACGTCTGGCTGCAGAGCCTCGCTGGGAATGTCCACAGTGGTGTTGGCTTGAGGGTCTGGATGTTGAGTTACAGCTTCTCTACCCCACCCCTCCCCCGCGCCCCCCATCTGAGTGTGCCCCCTCCCTCTCTCACCTTTCCACCACACAGCCTTACTGCCCCTCCTTTGCAGTCCCTGGCATCATTGCCTTGCCATGAAACTCAAGCACCTCCCAGTTGGGAGTAAAAATCCTCACAAGCCTTGCCAATTTGGCCTGGCAAACCCCTGCCAGCAACCCTGCTCCCGGTAACACAGTGCCCTATGTCTGCTCTTTTCGATTAGTCAGAACCAGGAAAACTTTGAGCAGAGGATTCTGTGGTTTCCTTCTAAGACAGCTGAACCTTGGCGGCTGGGCTTCTGTGTTTCACACTAGCCTGCAGAACAGGAACCTGCATCTTCGGTGGGGGGCTGACGTTTACCAACACAAGCGTCCCCACAGCCTGCCTGGTCTGCAGCTCGGACAGACCCCCTCCCTCTCCCCCCGAAGGAAGATCCAAATGAACTCCTCTTCTCCTCTCTGCAAGAAAGTTGCAGCAAGCACCGGCAGTGGGAAACTTGTGAACTGTTTTCTGCCGGCAGGGAGACCTGCCCCTCCCGGGCGATACAACCCACTTTGCACATCCTGCTTCTCCGCAGCTAAAAATAAATCGGTATGCGCTGAAAACTCTCCACGTCTCCGCAGCACACACTTCCCCAGCCCCGCGACGTTCAGACACGAGGATCTTTCACTCCAAAAACGCAGCGGATTTCTGCAACGGATTTCCTCAACGGATTTCCAGCAGCGCCCGGGGCGACCCCCAGCTCCCTCCCCAGCCACCCACCTTCCCAACCGGCCTCCCGCAGCTTGTCATTGCGGACTCCGCAGGCCCGGGGCCGGTAGCGACGCCCTGACCCCGGGCGGGCACGCTCGGACGTCCCCGGCCGCCAGGCTCCCTAACGTCCCTCTCAAGCCCGCGCACCTCGCCCGGCGCCCTGCGAAGCTGCCTCCTCCCCTCCAGCCACCAGCCTGGGGAGCGTGGGTTTAAAGCGTGGTGGTCCCTGAGTGGGGCTGCGGGGGAAGGGAAGGGACACTGACGCGGCGGTGGCCCCTGCGGAGGAGCCGCCGGGGTCCGGGCCCCGCCACCCTCTGCCCCCGCCTCTGCCCAGCCGCTCCCCGCCCGGCTGCCCCGCTAGCCCGCCCGGCTGCGGCTCCCGCTCCCCGCCAGCAGAGGGAAGGCACAGCGACTCACCGCCTCGGCCGCTCCCAGCGTCTGTGTCGCCGCGGGCTAGGCGGCGGCGCCTTCCCTCCTCCCGCCTCCCCCTGGACAGCTCGGCCGCAGCCGCGCCCCCCTCCCCAGCTCGCTCGTCGACCGCTCCCCACCGCGGCCCTGGCCTCTGGGTGGGACGGGGCTCTGCTGGCGGGGCGGGGGACCAGCCAAGGCTGGGTGCACAGGTGCAGCAGCAGCCCCGCCTCGCCCTGCTGCAAACGCCCGCCTCAGCCCCGGTTCCCTCCGACCCCAGCCCACTGCCCAGGCATTTCCCAAAGGGTGTTATCAATGTGCTGGGAACGTCAGGTTCAACCTAGAATTATCTTCCAAGCTTGCACGGGGAAGCCTGGCACTCCTGCCATCTCTCAGTCTGTTCAAGGGATGAGCCTCGAGAGCCTTTTCAAAGCCTCCCCCCAGCCCCTCTCTGGTACTCATAGATCCGCGAAGTAGGAAGGCTCCTCTTTATCTCTAAAGGGGTGGCTTAGCAAAGACTCACCGGGAAAGGTGGACAGCGAAGGGGCCCGCTTCCTAATACACCACCCCGCACTGCACAATGTCACCAGTCTCCGGCCCCTTTGAAGACAGTGTCTTGTCAACCAGTTCACCCGGTATTCATTAGGTACCTTCTTGCTGTGTTGGCCACTCGTGGCCTATAGAAAAGCCCCTGTAACTTCTCTGTTTGTCAACCCAGTGCCCCTTCTACAATTAAAAACAAGGAGTAACGGCACAGTGCCCTGTCCAGGTCTGCTTGCAAGATAGCTCAGTCAGCAGTTAAGTATGGCCACCTCAGACCCATCACCAGGACCTCCGTAAAAATGTCAGGTGAGGTGGTATGAGCTGGGAGGTAGGGACAAGCCGCTTCCTGGGACTCCCTGGCCAGCTAACAACCTTGCCTAGTCATCAAGCCCCAGCCAATGAGAGACCCTGCCGCAAAAGCAGCCAGGTGGCTAGTGCCTGAGGAATGCCACTACACACACACACACACACACACACACACACACACACACACACACGAGACACAGAGAAAGAGAAATTTAATTGGGTCCATGCAGTGGCCTGTGCTAGTCAGCTACAGGGTTCATCTAACCCAACTCATTCCTCCCTGATTCTACTTGAATTAAAAAGCAAATTGAAGTTCAGATCTTTGCCTGAAGTGTGTTCAAAGATTAACCCAGCCCCAGAGTCACCTGGGGAGGTGGAGATTCTGTAGCTCAGGGGTGTGACCCGACCGGCTATGTAGACTATGTTATACAAGAGCCCTCAGAGAGCACGTGGCGAGCTTACGGCATCGGAAGCACCATAGCTTTAACCAATCTGAAAACAGCCCCGAGACAACTCTAAAACAAAGGAGAGGCCAGAAGAGAAGAAGGTAGGTAACAAATAAGCGACCTAAGGTGGGTTTACAGAGGCACGTGGCGGGGATAGATGATGGGAGGACGGCCTAGGGGAGGGGGGGAGGGAAGGCAGGGACGGCACCCGTGCTGCTATGATCTGAGTGTGTCCCCCAAACTTCATTCCAACCACAGGAGCTCGGTGTTTTAGTTTGGGAGGTGGGTCCCCCTGGGAGGGGCTGGGGTGGGTCCCGATGCAGTTTTGTTGTTGTGGTTTTGTTTTTGTTTATGTTTGGGGGTTGTTTTTGTTTTGGGGGGTTGTTTTGTTTTTGTTTCCCCAATGAGTTTCGGATCTCTGGAGCCCCCCTCCCCCATGCTGCCCTCCTGGCTAAAAGCCTGGTTAGCCTAACTTTGCATATTTCCCGTAGCACCTCTTGCCTTCTGTTTTCCACCATTAAGTTGAAGCTGCACGTGGGCCTCCCTCGCCAGCTGCAGCCGTTGGATCTCAGGCTTTCCAGCCTCCACAACCACGAGCCAAGACAAACCCTTTTCTTTATAAATTACTCAGTCTCTGGGATTCTGCTATGGCAACAGAAACAAACTAACCTAGGCACCATGTGCTGAAGAAGCCAGCCTCATTTTTCCATGTGAGAAATGCATGTCTGGTGTAGCCATCAATTTTTTTTTTATCTTATTTTGGTTTAGGCTGATTTTTTTTCCAGAGAAGTCAGAAGTTCATTTTTAATGTGTGCTATTTCTAATTTTAAAACAATAGCTAATTTTAAGATATTTTCAGACTATGGAAGCAGGACTTGTAAGCCACAGAATGTCCTCCGATCATCAGTTGCTTGTCTGTGGCCTCTGTGTTCTCAGTAAACTCTGGCAGTAGAACAGCAGAAGGCAGCCATGATGGAAGTGGGGATTCATCTTCAAGAGGTTTTATCTACTTTGTAATGATGTAATAGTTTTGACTTTTAAAAAAATCTTTCTTGAGATGCATTTGTAGTAGTTCCTTTTTATCTGAGGTTTTGCTTCCTTGCTTCATTTGTCCAGAGTCAATCCAGCCCGAACGTGTTGAATAAACAATTTAAGTTTTTATTTGCACACAGGGTTCAACAATCTCTGAGGTTTCCGGCTTCTACTAAGAGGCCGGAATATCTCAGGTATGGGGCATACCTGAGGATAGAGGGGAAACTGTGCCATATTAACCCTCATTTAAACATTTCTTCATAGATGCACAGAATTATATAACCAAGGCCACAACTGTGTTTAGAGTTAATTTCCTCCTCCCCCAAAGAAATCTCATACCTACTAGCACTCACATCTTTTTTTCTTCCAATCCTTAGTCCTTAATAGTCACTAATCCGCTGTTCATACAGAGAAAGATTTGCCTATTGTGGACATTTGGTGTAGATGAAACTGTACAATACATTGTGGCTTCTTTTACTTAGGGTAACATTTTCCAGGTTCGTCGTTGTTGTAATGCATCAATGCTTTCCTTTTCTTTCCTTTCCTTTCTTCTTTACATATTATTATTTTAACATGGAGTCTTACTATGTAGCCCCGGCTGGAACTTACTGTGTAGACCAGTTTGGTCTCAAACTCTTGAAAATCCACTTGCTTCTGCCTCCTGAATGCTGAGATGAGCCACCACACTTGGGCCCATTTCTTTTCATGAACAAGTAACATCGTATTTTGTTTATCCGGACATGTGGGGGTCTTCCTAATGCTCAGCAATTGTTATAGTACACCTCTTAGCATTCATGGTGAGCATATAACCTAGAGTGCTGCCTGGGAACCAGATACGGAGGACGGCTAGCCTGTTTTCTGAAGGAGGCGTATCAGCAGTTCACGGAGGTGCTGCAGTCTCTATCCGGCACTATTTGCCTTTATTTTTAAATTAAATCCATCTTGCCATAGGTGGGGAGCGGTGCGTTGCTGTGCTGTTTTTTTTTTTTAGCACTTGGGTGTTGAGCTCAGGATCTGGTATGTATGTGGAGGCTCCCTGCTACTAAGCTGTGTGTCCAGAACAGGCATTGTCCTTTTGGCTTGATTTGTTCTGTGACTAATGAGAGTCCCCATTGCCTCATGCACCTTTGGCCACATTTATAGTCATCTTTGAAGAAAGATGTATTCGGTCCAACCCACTGTCCATTGGGTTGTCTGTCTTTTTATTATCCTGGTCTGGGTCCTTTACATGACCCATGTGATAAGTGACATAGTGTATGATTTAGCCATACTTCCTTCATCCCTGCAGATTGTCACAGTCTTTGAGCCAACAAACCTCTAAATCATGTTGAATCTTACATCACATTTTCTTTTGCTGTTAGCACTTTTGATGTGGTCTTAAAAAGCTTTGCCCAATTTGAGGACACAGAGATTTATGCTTAAATTTTGAGACCTACTATTCTTAATGCTTTTTAACAGATACAGAGAGAGAGGGTGGAAATGGGCATAAAGAACAATAAGGATGGCTGAAAAAGCCAAAGGGAAACATTATTTTATAAGCCCACTTAACAATACAAATATGACATTTGTATTACTAAATACAATAAGGCTGGGAATACTGACAGTTCTCCTTTTGGTCCACAATCAGAGCCTCCTACTTAAAGAGCTCTGACTTGCTGGAACAGCTCTCTCACTGTCCCCTTTGGTCAACATCGGGAACTACTAAGTGTATTGATTTTGGATTAGTGAGGTCTCAATGCCAATTCTCTTATCCCAAAGTATTTCCTGCGGGCCTCCCATGGGTTACAACTATTGCAGGCTCTTCACAAAGGCACTAAGTAAGACAAGGACTGTGCTCTTGCGGAATTTATAATTTACCAAGATATGTGGGGTTAAGGAGGTGTGGCTGATCAGTATTCATGTCAACAGTTCTTATAAGCAGGTACCATAAAACAAATAGGAAAGGAGCCAGGAAGACCCGGTCAAAGGCTCTCAGTTGGGAAAAACAAAAACACAAACCACAACTCATTCAGAAACAGAGCTAATGTGGCTGGAGCTTAATGGATACTTTTGGATTCTCTAGAAAACAGAGCTGGTGCACATTAGGCATTAGCAGAGCAGAGGAGAGTGAAATGGCAGGGATGCAGGGACGCATGGACACAGGGGTGCAGGGGCTCAGGGACGCAGGGACGCAGGGGTGCAGGGACGCAGGGGTGCAGGGCTGCACTCAGAGGAGCAGGATCGGGTGCACAGCTCGGAGTGGTACATCTCTGCTCACAGTTCCACGAGGCGTGTTACCTCTCTGCTCATCACTCCAGTCTGCAAAGCCCTCAGCTTGGGAGCAGACTGTGTGATCCTTACTGGGAAGGCCCGAAGGGAGCCAAGATGGGTGCTGGTTTCTGGTTGTATCGGTTACTTTTCTCCTTGCTACAACAAAAATGCCTGACCAAGTGAGTTCAAGGAAAGGGAGGATTATTTTGGCTCACAATTGAAGGGCATAGTCCGTCATGGCGGAGAGGTCATGGTGGCAGGAATGAGAGGCAGCTGGCCACACTGCTTCTGCAGCCAAGAAGTGGAGAGAGCTGATGCTATGCTCAGCTTTTTGCTTTGTTTCCATGGTGATTCTAAATCCTGTCAAGTTGACAATTGTAGTGGTCTTCAGAGAAAGGGCAATTCTTCTGTAACAACAGACACATAGCAAGGTGGAGGAAGCAAGCCAGTGCACGGACTCACCAGCTCCGGTGGCATGTGAGTGACACTAAGTCGGTACCTGCACAGTATCAGGGAAGTGCCGAGGTGGAAGGCAGAAGGCACGTGCAGGAGGAAGGGCACACCTGCTGTACCCAAGAGCAGCTGGGGGACTAGACCGCAGCCACACCGCACACTGCCGCAGCAGACTGGCAGGGACAGCAGCGGGCCACAGAGGCCGCCTAAGCCACAGCAAAGTTTGTTATGGCAAACTGGAGTTTTCTCACCAACCTGAGATGATGCCAAACAGAACAGTGGGCAAGGGAGGGAACAGCAACAGAGTCAGCAAAAGGAGGCAGAAGCCACACATCAATTTGCAAGGAAGGGTGGGAAACAGAAAACGTATTCCACTTCGGAATTTACTTCAAGAAAAATACAAAGCCAGTGGGGGTTCTCTTTAGGCTGGCCTTTAATGAAGTTTTATTTTTGTGCATATGTGTGCAAGTGAGTGTAGTGTCCACAGAGGCCAGAAGAGGGGACGCATCCTCTGGAGCTGGAGTTGGCAGTTGTGAACCACCGGATGCACA